CTTACCAGGAAGATATCGTAGACATGGACCATCTCATTACTGGTTAAATGATGCTATTTGTATTCTGAGTATCCTCTCAATTTATCTATGTATAGACAAACCGTTATTCCTCGTCGCTATACGAATGAACGGTGGAAAAATGGAGATATTAAAAAACAACAAAATAATATAAACCTGATCACCCGTGAGAAAGACCCCGCTAACGGATATCCCAATCACCCGCAGGATGCGACCCCGACTTTCGCCCGGCCTCGCTCTCCCTTCGCCTACTGCGGAGTCACCTTGCTAGCCTTCGCTCTTTTCGACATGATATTGGCCACACGGCTACCCTTGATCAACCAACTGATCTCCGTGATGAGCCGCCTCTTCAATGCCCGGCGCACACATGACTCCGCGCCGCCCTCGTCCCCGACATCGTCCACTGTCGACAAAATGCTCCAAACCTACACCTCCCTCTTTACGCACATTTGTATCCTGCTCGCCATAACGAGGTGTCTAGTTTTCTCCGTCATATCAATACGAATATATGCTTCTGTGTCGGAGGTTTGGGTGCCAGCTGCTGCAGCTACCGCTGGAGGCAGAGGGGGAATGCCAGATGCCGCTGCGTTGGACGCGAAAGTGGCCCATATAAAAAACAAGGTGGTGCTGGGATATGCGGTGGCAGAGATGATGATTTCCGCCTCGGTAAGCGATCTGTGAGATCTAGTTTATATGTTCTTATTTAGCACATGTAGCTCACAGGTATTTTTTTCACGCATTTTGCCAGACTCTCTTATCCTTGAAAGATGAGCGGCTCCAGACGAGACCAGCACTCCTATTCGGACCACTCATCCCTTCGCGATTTCCCCAATGATTATATCTTTCCTTATATATACGATGTTCCTTACATAAAGAGACAATACGCTGCCGATATGTAGCTGCGGCAGTTTTCTTGGCAGCCGCCCAGGGGGTGAGAGTAAGGAAAGGGAATTACTTTTTCTTGCCTGCTGTGCAGAACAGAATCCGTTTTTCTCCCCCCGTGCTTCTTTGGTCGGAACCTAGTACACTACATACAAACAAGCCGAGTCCCGAAACGAGAGAATTATTTTTATTTTTGCAGTCCGTGTCCATTCCTTGTGTATCCTTTTTTTTTTTTTTTCATTTTCTTGTTTTCTATTTAAATTTAAAAAATCACACAAAGAACAACGCTTCGTTTTCCCACAATATAAAGAGGAACGGCGTGTGGAAAACGAAAGGCAGGGCCATACACACACCATAGTACATGATCATCATCATCTATAAGATAGAGTTCCTTTTTGGCAGCGAATTTTGTGGTTTGTTGGCAACCTTCTCCCTATACACCCCATGTATTGTCCTTACTTTTAAATATTTAAACGCTTTTCCTCTTATTTATTTTCCATCTTATTACTACTACTACTCACTTTTATCGTTTATTTTTTGTTGAGTACGTACTCAGACTCATATACAAACTTTTCCCTGTAATGCTTTCCTAAGAATAATTTATTTTTTCTTTATACTATACATTTTGCACCTCCCCAGACCCTTCTTGCTCAACTAGTTAGTTAACTGTGGCATCTGACGTCATCCCACTCCAAACCCCCCAACTCGCAGCCAGCAGTCATTCGGCAGGACAAGGACTAGGACCCATCACTCCCTTTGCTAACTATCAAGGACGATATTTATAGAGGAAGCGTACAGCTGAGCGTGGAGAGTCCACGAACCTTGCGAGGACTTACTTCACAGAGGAAAACAGAAACACGCCACCGGATACATGAATGTTTCCGGGGGAGGGGAGGGCTGGCTTGGAAGTTGTCTGCTTGCGTGGCTCGGGGTAAGCCCTAGCTACTCCACTCACGAACCCGCACCCCGCAGTTATCGGCATCAAAATCCGTCCTTTCGACAAGATGGTTGGGATTGGAAATAGGGATGCGCTCATGGCACAACCTGGCGGGAAGAAGCACAGTAAGTAGGAGGGAGAAGGCCGTCCCCCGGGACCTATAATGTGGAAGCTCGACAGAGGGAATCTATCAAGTATTATCGCTGCTGACTTGAAATCTTCCAAAGTTCCCACGCGATACCCTGGGATGGAGGAGACGATGGATGGAACATTTACGTGGGGAGGAGTTGCATGCATCCACCCCACCCAGGGTTCAATGTGTAGTATGCAGTTGAAGATGGGCTGGAGAGATTTGAGTTCAACGAGGGCCCATGCCATCCATTAGTTGTCAACATGGGGTAGTTAAGCTAACTATTTCATGATTGACCCATAGAACTAGAGGAGGATCAATCAATGTCCTGCGTTGAGAAACAGCTGGGGACACGCATGTATGGACAGTACAGTACCTCAAGAAAATTGGACATGTGGTATCTATCAATCAATTACACATGGACTGCGAGCCGCGAAGCGTGCCGAAAAGCGTGCCGAAAAGCGTGCCGAAAGGATCCAAGAAAAGAGATCTGTCATTCTGGTTACTTCATCTTTATTTTTTGGGCCTTGCTTATTTTTGTGTTCTTGATGTTCATTGGAACGCCGATTTATCGGATATCCACGTTATACTTGGCTTATTAATCCTTCCACCATATAACTTCCCACTTAGCTAGCAATCTTCAATCA